GGGACAGAGTCATATATTTATTTAATGTTGTACAGTAACCAGAAGGTCATGCAGGGCGAAGACTGAAAAATAGCAATTAGCGGGCAAGCAGGAAGTCCCTGATCACTCCAGTGAGACTCTCGCAATCTCTCACAAGGCTGCAAGGTGTCAACCAGGGCTGGAATCGTTTTAAATTTTGACAAGACCATAGAGTTTCCTTTCAAGCTCACTCCTATTTTTCTTGGCAGAAGGCTTCATTTTCTGTGTTTATTGGCCAGAAGCCTCCACTCCCTGCCATATGAAACCTCCTCGGGGTGCTTGACCGTCTCTCTCACACGGCAGCTTGCTTTCCCTAGAGCAAGTGGGGGGTGAGTGGAGCTAGGGAGGAAGGTAGTGGGGAGGCACCGAGAGGAGGTCACCAGGCCTTCTTTGACCTAGAACCATAAATTTCAAATTCTGGAAGAAAGGCACTAAGGAAAGGGGTTAAATGAAATTTCGCCTATTGAAACGAAGAATATAAAGGAAATTGTGAGCATGGTTTTAAACAGCCACAGCCAGCTGGGAGTCCTAACTGAAAGTACTGCAAAATCCACCACGCAGTGGAAACCCATTTACTCCCAGTTAAAGATCTTGCAGGCTGGTAAACTCTGAGTAGCGCGTTCTGAGCTCCGGCTCTGCTTCCTTGCCCTCGACACGGTTCTCTGGCCTGCTTCCTACTTTGGTAATGAAACAGGCTGCCACAGCTGCAGGCCTCGTAGATGTAAGCAGGCATCTGGCACAAAGCGCGAGCACCACCGAGCCTCAGCACCCCGGCGGCAGCAGCGGGGTGTGACTCCCTCTGATTGGATGGCCTTGGGTCACGTGCTCAGCCAAGCCCGCCCTCCGCCCAAACCAGGGCCTGGAACACCTACTCAGTCGGGTCCGGGGCTCCTGTCCTGAGGCTGCGCTGTGAAATCACTTCTCTGAAACCACACAGCCCTGCAAAGAGAAACCCAGGCCTCCGGGAAGAAGAAAAATGCACCCAGGAGAGGCAACCACAAATAACCCAGTACAAGAGTCAGGAAAGTTTTTGTCCGCTTTGTTAGACTATGTGGCAGATAATATTTTGGTCATCCAAAAAGAGAGGAAGCAGTGCAAGTGCAGCAAGTAGGAGTATAGCTAAAGAGTGGTGAAATAAGCCTGCCCCCTGGCCCGTACCTGTAGTCCCAGCACCCAGGAGACTGAGCTGAGAGGGAGCTGGGAGCCTGAGACCAGCCTGGAAATACAAGACCCCCGTGGCAAAGAAACAAAAAAGAAAAAGGTCAAAGAAATAGCAAGAAGTGGAAAAATCCCATGTCCCTCTTGAGATCAAAGACAGCAAGTCTAAGGCAGGGGCCTTCCGGGGAGGTAGAGGAAATGTTGCGTGGTGGTGGGGAACATGAATCAAGGAGGAAGTGATGTCACCAATTGAAAATAAAGAGAAAAATAATATGGAATTCAAGGGGTTAAGATAACCTAGGTGGAATGTATCAGTTGGGGGTTAAAGTTAATGGTGGTGTTCTTGCTGGTGGAGCTTGGAAAATTCCACTATAATGAAAAAAAAAAAAAAAAACACACAAGCAAATATACAAAAACTAAAAAGCTCTGGTCGGCAAGAAAACATAAATACTACTATAACAAAAGACAATAGTATTGGAGGAAAGTAGTTCCCACTGGGGAAAGAGACATAAAACAAGTCTGAGAGATAAGTCTAGCCAACTTTTTAAAAGCAACTGTGACAAATAACAAGAATAAAATAAACCTTTCAAAATGTAAAGTATCTAACTTACTGTTTTGATTTTGGCAGAAAAATGTATCATGGAGTAGTGTGCATCTTGACTACTAAGGTAGAACAGTCACTTCTTTTTGTGTTGTAAATCAGTAAAGAAAGAATTTTCCCTCTTTGTGTAATACATACTACAAAATTCCTCTCCATAGCCTGGCTGGCCCCCTTGGAAAGCAGTCCTTACCCTAAAATAAAAGAAGCTTGTGTTTCTATTCACATACATGGGTTTCAAAGTTGTGTTTTTAAGAAGTGGTGTGAAATAAAAATAATGAAAATATTTAAGAAATATAAGCTTGGAGTAGAAGGTCATGAAGAAAGACAACCTTGGTTCCACTTGCCCTAGGACAGTGGTCTTGACAGAGGACTTTGACTGAAAACGATGAGAGGTTCCAGAGAATGAAGGAGTTGTTGCATGTATAATACACATTGAGAGGGAGAAGGAAACTTCATGTCAGACATATCTGACCTTCAGTTTTGCCTCTGACGAGTTGAAAGATCAGATAGACAAGGAGCCCAGGTTTATTCTTCTCCAGGAGGAGGCAAATTTCTCCCCCAGCCTTTCCTCAGGCACATAAATTGCCTTCTACCAAATACCCATACTTGTTTTGGAAAACATTTAACACCTTCTCACCACTAAACCCTTGAGAAGGCAACATGAGTGCTTAACAATACAATTTCTCTTTCTCTCAAGGGGCAGAAAAAGACCTCCTGGCCAGGGAGATGGTTCAGTACAATAAGCACTTACCTGGAAAGCACAAGGCCCTGAGTTCAATCCCTGTACAGCCAAAAAGAAAAAGAAAAAAGAAAAAAAGAAAAGAAAAGGAAAAGAAAGACATCCTAACATACAGGAGATATTCTAACACAACAAGCATTAATTTTTGAGTGCTTACTATGTGTCCTTTGCTATGCTTGGCATTTTTACATGCACCATAGGATCTGATTCTCCTAACAACTCAGCCAGGTAAGAAAACAGATGCAAAGATGTTAGTACTTACTGTGGCTCCAACTCATATAGCTAATGAGGACCATTAGCTTCCGTTGTAAAAGGAGAAAGCACTATTGCGACTTACAGCTATGAAGGTTTCAGTCCATAACAGATCGGTCCCATTGCTCTGGGCCAGTGACAAGGTGGCATGGGACATCACAGTGGAAGCATGCAGCAGAACTTCCTTACCGGTGAGCAGCTGGAAAGTAAAGAGGGGAACAGAACAGGGTCTTATATTCCCTGTGAGGGCCTGAGTCCTTTCACTGGGCTCCACGTAAAGTTCTGCCAGCTCCTGATAGCATCATAGGTTGGGAATAGCCCTTTACCACAAGGCCTTGGGGGTCATGGTTTGCAGATACCAACTATGATTTGCAGAGCTATATGTTGAAATCATATGTTAGATTCCAAAGCCACATTCTGTTTTCACACTATTTTCTTTTAAAAACAAATGCAATTCCTTAATGTCTACAACTGAGTCAATGGCCTAAATAAATGTTTAAATAAAAAGAAAACAAAATGTTAAACGCTGGTAATTAAAGACAGATTTATTCAAAATCAAATGCTGCACCTCATTCCCAAGCTCAGTGGGACACATACTGAGACAAGTACTGCACACAAGAGGCCGGGGAAATACTTTTAGGTCAGAAACAAGCTCAGCTTCAAATGATGGGATGTAACTATGGAATTGAAGGACAATACACGCTGGAGAGAAAGCAAACAGGCCAGGTCTAGGAAGAACTTAAGGGTAGGAGAGAAAGAAAAATGGTTTGTTGAAAACCTGTGTCACAGTAATATAAACTAATCTAGTTTCCTTCAGCAGAAACAATGCACAAGCCAATGAAAGAAAAAACGTAAGTGGCCAAGCTAAAGAAAATGTGGAATCTGATTGAGGGGCAGATTAGCCCCAAGAGTCCAGTCTCGGATATTAGCTGACATTAGGAAAATAAGGATTGCCTGTGTTAAGGCTCCTGCCGCAATATCAGAGTATGTCAATCACCATTACGTGTTTTCCTGCAGTACTTGGTGAACAGACCAAGACTGTTATTCAAACGAGTTTATCCTGGATTGGATCCATTCTATAAAGTAAAACTCTAATGTTATAAAGCAGCTCTGCACTTTGTCATGGAAATGTACTCCTGGCGCGGGGACTCCCAACCCCCGTGCCCTACCTCCACCTCAGGGTGCACTGCTATGTCTGAGGATCTTTGTAAATGCCACAGCGCGGGAGGAAGGGCGCTACCTTGGCATCCAGGAGGCAGAGGCATGCTGCCATGCACAGGACAGCCCCCATATCAAAAACACTGCCAGCCAAGATGTCAGTAGCGCGGGCTTAAGCAGCTCTGGACCAGACGAGACTGCCTGTCTGCATGTGTGGCAGGAGTAGTGTCGGTCACTGCCTTTTTCGGGTTTGCAGCGCTATCAATTCTCAGGGGTCCTTACAGATGACGGAGAGGCCGGTCACCAGACGGCCTAGAATGTAAAGCAGATAAAGGAGAAATCGTTTGTTTTCCTTTTATTTAAAACCATGAATCATAACAAATTTAGGTTTTAGGTCATCCCGGGGCTTTCTGACATCAACAACCTGAAACCCAGGGCTCTTGGGCGCTGGGGTTCTGCGTGGGTGTGGGTTTCTTCCCCCTTAGCAATGCGCGGTGGGAAAAAGCAAAACACTTCGCGGAGGAGGCGTTTTCCTAACGTCATTTATTTAGTCTACAGGAGGAATTTCGTCCTCTGCAACAGGAAAGTAGAGATCCCCAGAAGCTGGAATCAAAGCAGAGTATGTCTACTAGGGAAGTCAATCGCACCGGTTTACGTATAAAGATAAGTGAGCGAGAGAGTGGCGGGAATCCCCCCGGGGCTCGGGCCCCCAGGCCTGGGGCTGCTCGCGGCCAGGGTGGGGAGCGGCGTCCGCGGCGGGAGGACCGGCGCCGGCCCCCGGGGTACCCAGGGCCTTGCCCAGGCCCGGCCCGCGGCGGAGAGGGGGTGGGCAGAGCCGCGGGAGCGAGCCGGGACGTCGGCAGCGCCCCGCAGGCGGGAAGCGGCAGGAAGAGGCGGGATTCCTGCCTTTTGTCTGCGGGCCCCTAGCCGGAGCCCGCGGCCGGAGGAGCTGAGCAGCCGGACGCCCGCGCCGGGAGCTGGTCGCTGCAGGCGCGGGGCGGGGCGGGGCGGGGGGCGGGGCAGGGGGCGGGGCGCGTGCAGGCCACGCCCTCGGGGCTTTAAAAGGCCCCGGCGGGCTGCGAGTCTCCAGGTGTCCCGCGCTCTCGTCCGCTGCTCGAGTTCGCTGTTCGCCTCTCTGCCCCGGTGCGCTCGCCTCCGACTCGAGTGAGTACGCGTGCGGGCGCACCCCGCACCCCGCTGCGGCTGGAGCCCCTGCGCACCCGCTGTCTCGGGTCCCAGTTTGCGCCCCCCCACCCCCGTCCTCTGTCACTGCGACCCCCAACACACCTGCTCATCTTCCCCCCCTGCCCCGGGGCAGTTAAATAATCCCAGCGCGAGCTTTAACCTGGGCCCGCCGCTTCTGCCGGGGCGGAGCGGGGTCCGGAGTTTCGCGTTGCTGTTTAAATGGCTCCTTCCACGGCCGTGGGCGCCCACCTCCCGGGCCGCTCTGTCGCGGAGGAGTCGGGGGCCAGGGGCGGGCCGGGTCAGGGCCCAGGGTGCGCGCCTGGCCCACCTTCCCCGGGGCCCCGGCCTGGGTGTGGGGAGGGGAGGGGGCTTCTAAGCCCACCGAGCCCGAAGCCCTTCCCGGCTGCCGACCGAGCTCCTGGCATCCCTATTGTTCGGTGCTTTCTGCCCACCAAACGCTGAACCTTAAACGTGGAAGGAACAGCGGTGAAATAAATGTCAGTCCGTCGCTTCTAGCTTTTTCCGGAACTTTCTGCCCTTCAAAGTACAAACAGATGCAAGAATACTTGATTGTGACATTCTGCACAGGTTCTCAAAGTCAGGTTCTGTGTTTAGGGCTGGATTCAAACTCCACGTAGGCGGCCTTGGGGGTGGTGCTCTCTAAACCAGAGATTTACATTCCCCGCTGGAAGCCGTCACGTTGTGAACAATGTTTAAGTGGTTTCCCAAAAGTTTAGCTTGTTTTGAGTCTACAAATGAAGCACATTTTTAGTGTAAATTTTAAATGCCTTTTAAATCTCTATTATTTAGGTGGTAAGTTTTTGACTCGGGAAGTTTGAAGATGGTTTTTTTTTTTTTTTTTTTTTTTTTTTTTTTTTTTTGTTGGTTTTTTTGTTTTTGCGGAACTGGGGATTGAATTTAGGCCCTTGTGCTTGCCAGGGAAGCGCTTATTCCACTGAGCCATCTCCCCAGTCCTGTAGATGGTCCTTTCTAAGTAATCATTTCAAATAGGACATCTACAAAGCTGGTTATACTTCGTTGGTGATAGGCTTTAAAAGGGAGAATTTCACACAGTTTTAAAACTGCATACCAAAATATAAGCGATTTTTATAAAGTGCTCACTGGTGTCCATGTTCTCACGTTGTCACTGAAAATCTTGCCACTGATTCTCAGGGTTCTTTTTTCTCTGCGTTCTAGTTAGAGCCGTGTTACCTTTGAGGTTCGCATGGTTGGAACAGAACCACTACCAGTTAATTGAAGAAGGAAGAAAGAAACTAATGAGATGCAATTGAGCGCTGAAAAGATTGAATTTGACCGAGACAATAGATAGCTGTTAAATTTTATCTGCAGTGTTTTTGCAGAACTAGGGATTGAACTCAGGCCCTTTCTCTTGCCAGGCAAGCGCTTATTCTACTGAGCCATCTCCCTGGCCCCTATCTGCATTTTTTATCATACATCTTGGACAGATCCTGCCCAGTGCAGGCAGCACATTTTCACCAGTGCTGGTCTGTGCCAAGTGCTGCTCTGGAAGCAGGGCCTACTGGAGGCCTGTCCTGATGAAGCAGCAGCAGCACCTGGCTGGCGTGAAGGGGAGTTGTAGCCTCAAACATCAAGAACGTGGGTGTGACGTGGGGAGAGCAGCGATGAATGCGCTTTCAAACCGGGCTCAGATGCAACCGTGTCTCCAGCTGTTGTAACCAGGCCTCTCTCTGATTTTTCTTCCACTTTAAAAATGAGATACATCAAATGAAATGGGGAGAGCAGTTCTCCTGAGGGCAAAGAGGGGTGATGCAGCAGGAGGGGCAAACTAAAGCCCATCAGGCCTCAAGTGACAGCCCAGATCCAGCCCCTGTCGGCTTGATGCCCTCAAACAACTTAATGAGTATAATAGAACATAGCTTGCAGAAATGTATACATTTGTACCAGCTGCACTCCAGCCTGGGAGAAATTCCGTGTGAGCAGACTGCATACTGAACTTTTCTGAGTATGTGGGGGAAGTGGCCGTCAGCGAAGTCTCTTGCGGAGAGCGCTGACTCAAACTTCGCGTTGCCTAGCCCACACTTGGAGGCCAAGCCAGCTCCCATCCCTTTGCAGCTATTCACCAATCCCTTAGAGCACCACGCCTTTCCTTGGAAGATATTTGCAGCCACCTCCTGAATTCTCTTTGGCAGGACTCCCCTGAGAACTTGATTACCTTTCTGTGGGTATGGAATTTAATTGCTTCTCTTGTTTCACAAAGGCTTGAAAGTCCTGTGATGTCTCTGGACCCTGTTCTTCAAGTGTTTTAAATGCAAAAGATAAAGTATTTGTACAAAGTTAATCGATCTCCCAAATTTAAGGGCAAATCTAGATACTGGCTTCAGAATCCTGACTTGGTGCCTTGTTTCCCCACCTCAGTTCTAGAGCACTGGGCACAATTCCTGATTGGAAACCATTTTATTATTGTAAGTCACAAAAGATGAACTGATAGAAGTATATTAGGAATCATTTGTAGGTTCCTTAGGATTTTGTTTGTGATCTCATTGAACCAATAGTACCAGTTGTCTTTGATGAGTAAGAAAAGGATAGCCATCATGTGATACAGTCAGGCCAAGACGCTTTACAGCTCACTATGGGAAAGGAGGGTTCAGGGTGGCTCCACAAAAGAGAAAAATGAGGACAGAACTGAATCCTTGCCCAGCACACAACATACCTACCCTGAAGGAAATTGCCACAGCCAGAGAGGTCAGTACTACTCTATTTGTGTTGCTACCATCCTTTTACTTTTAGCAAAACATCAGTCAAATAATTTTGAATTATAATTCATTTTGAAGTTGAACTGGTTATTTTAATTTGGGATTCACAGTTATGAGTCATACAACATCTCTTATGTCCCAGGTTTCCTACTCATAAAACTAGAATAATGAAAATCTGTATCTTAGTTATGATGATTAAATAATTGGGCACAGTATTTAACATAAGTGAAGGATATAACTACAGAAGTAAATATCATTACTTATATAGTGTCTTAAGTGTTTTGCCCATATTGTTCATTTCAGAACTGCCTTATAGTATAAGCGGGCATTATTTCTATTTTTAAATTAAGAAAACCAGTAGATCAAGTAACCAATCTGTGACTATTTGGCAAAAAGTAGGAGTTTTGGCATTTAAATCTAGGTTTCATTCCATATAAAAGCCATGCAAATGAAAAGTTGTTTGAATAATTAAGTAACTTGTAGTTTGCACAGATTGTGGCATGCTATCGCAGATGCTAGGGGTAAGGATTACCAAATATATATCATAGTTGCATTTTAATTACAATATGTGATTTGGCAGATTGTGGTCCAAATCAGTGTCAGGGATTTTGCTGTGCCCCCAGTTGAAGGCATAAGTGGTAACAGGATATAGAATTAGAATGGTGAGGCTGACGCAGACACAGGAAAATTTACTAGGTAGAAGGGAAGCTGGACTGAGGGGAGAGGAGTGGCAGAGAGCTTTCTGGTGGGAAGTAGCAATTTGGATGTGGGATTTGCACACAAAAACCACTTACTAACTGCTTGGTTGGATGGGTGAATACTGGATGGAAGAGAATACATTCCTGTCCACATAATCTGACAGCTCAGGACTGATAATTCTGATTAATTTAAATGGTCTTCTTCACAGAGCATTGGATGTGAAGATGTGGGGGACAGTTTATGGGTCTAGAGTCAAAACAGGAGCCCGCTTTGGAGATTGGGGCCCTCTGAAGTAGGTTGAATGGGATAGCCTCCTGTAGGCCCCGCAGTCCTCCTAAAGGAAAAGGAAGCCAGCGTGTTTGGAGGCCTGGCATTTTTCCAGGTACTTTACAAATGCTAGTTCATGAAGTGCTTAGAACTGTGCGATAGTTCTTGTCCATTTCCAAATGGAAAGGAAAGTTGAGGCTCTGAGGCTTAAAGACCTGGCCAGGATTATAGAGCTGTATAGGGCTCGTAGTACTTCTTTTTCCTTTGTGGTGCCTGGGATCGAATCCAGAAGCAGACATATGTTGAACTACATCCGCAGCCCCCAGTATATCACTTATAAAATTATAAGAGTTTCATAAATAGTAAGCCATTGTACAGTGTTTATAAATTGTCCTTAACCTAGAAAAATGACTAAGATACAAATGAATTCAGGAATTAGTTGGACGAAGGAAGGAGAAAAGCCAGTTGCCTCCATGGGGAAGCTGGGAGCGTAATGATTAAATAGATACATGAGATGAGAGGGGGGGAGAGTGAATACTGATAACGAAGTTGGACATTGCTAAATACTGATGACAAACACTGTCATTTATTGAGCACCTATTGTGCAGTCATTATCTCACTGAATTCTTGCAACTCTGTAGGAAAGTACTGTTAACCTTATTTTACATGTGAGGAAATGTGTGTAAAACCCGTGTTCTGAATTCAGCCTTATGGTGAGGCCAGGCTGAGATGCGGCTGCAGTAGGGGGAGCCAGGTAGAAGATGGAGCGCCAGGACACCAAGAGCTCATGCTCAGTCCAGTGGAGTTCACTAGTTAAGGAAAGCAGATCAAACAGACGAGAACTGAGGCACCGAGGAAAGCTTCATTTCTAATTAACTACAACACTCGAACTCTGGCCTTGTTAAAAAAAAATCATTGTAATTAGGGACAGTGCTACTAAATGTGCATAATGTAACAAATGTCTGGCCCCTGGATGTGGTGCAAGATGGGATGAGTTGATAATAACTTTTTTCCTTTGGAGAAATTGGACTACACCCAAGTTCTAGTAATAAAAAAGCCTTATATGTAGTAATAAAATGTGTCTGGAAGCATTTAAAATCTAACTACATGAACACACTCCAAATTTCCAGATCAGATGACTTAAACTGTAAGTGGTGACATGCAGCCTTGAGATGCATGGATTGGGCAGGGCATGCGGCGTAAACTAAGGCAGTAAAGACAGTGGTCATGGGGTAACAATAACCTGCGTGGTCACTTCGCAGCTCACAGTTGGTTGTC